TTAGGTCCTCCAGCGATTCTGCCATAAGGACTATATCGTCGGCAAATCGAAGGTGAGTGATGTACTCGCCATTGATGTTGATACCGTATCCTTTCCAGTCCAGAAGCTTGAAAACGTCTTCCAATGCAGCGGTGAAGAGTTTCGGGGATATGACGTCACCCTGTCTTACACCTCTCTGCAATTGGATAGGTTTCGTACTCTGGTTCTGTACTCGGATAGCCATCGTAGCCCTACTGTACAAGCACTTCAACACTTCGATATACCGACAGTCAACTTGGCACCGCTGAAGGGACTGCAGCACCGCCCAAATTTCGACGGAATCAAAGGCTTTCTCATAGTCCACATACGCCAGACATAGTGGCAAATTGTACTCTTCGGACTTCTGTACAACTTGCCGAAGGGTATGTATGTGGTCTATGGTGCTAAAGCCTTTTCGGAAACCGGCTTGTTCGGGAGGCTGGAAGTCGTCAAGTCTGCGCGCGAGACGATTCGTAATGACTCTCGAAAACAGCACGTAGACGCGGCTCAGAAGGGAAATCGGTCTGTAGTTCTTCAAGAGAGCGTTGTCACCTTTCTTGAAGAACAAGACCACCGCACTTTTGCTCCACGCCTCCGGTGTAATGCCACCATGGAGGACGGAATTAAAGAGCTTCTGAAGGACTTCAAGTACCGGTCTTCCACCCGCTTTCAGAAGCTCCGCTGTAATTCCATCCTCGCCTGGGGCCTTACCGTTTTTAAGGTGCTGGAGAGCCATCCTAATCTCGCTCAGACTGACATCCGGGATATCTTCGGAATAGTGTCGGATGAGACTCGCTCTTGGATCGTTACTCACACTTGCGTGTGGCTCCAACGATGATGTGTACAGCTGCCCATAGAACCTCTCAATCTCACTCAAAATCTCAGGTGTCCCGGAAACGATGCTGCCACACTCTGTCTTCAGCTTTGACAGTTGGCTCTTTCTGGCAGACAGATCTCTGGCAAAGACTTTGGAGCCTTGGTTCCGCTCGATCGCTTCTTCAATACGAGCTGTATTGAAGTTGCGTAAGTCCCGCCGCATGCATTTGGAGATCTGTCTGTTCAGATGCCTGTATGCTGTCAAGTCTGTTGAAGAATGTAGTTTCATCTCCCGTCTAACAGCCATGAGATTAAGAGTGTGATCGGAGAGTTTTTGTGTTCTTCTGCGGCGGGTCTTGCAGAACTTAGCTCCAACCGCATGGACAGTTTCCACGAGCTTGTCATTCATATCGTCCACTTCATTGCAGTCTTCTAGGCACTGAAAACGGTTTTGTAACTCGAGCTGAAAGGTTTCGGGACTTTGAAACAGAGCACGAGGGGGACGGAGCGTTGACTTCATTAGACGAGACCTCTCCAACTTAACGTTTAGGTTCAGTGTGCCTCTAACCATTCGGTGATCGCTACCAGTTTTCACCCTCGCGATCACGGAGACATCACTGAACAGTTGTCGTCTGGTCGTCATAATGAAGTCAATCTCATTTTTTGTCGAACCGTCGGGGCTCGACCAGGTCCACTTCCTGTGGGGCCGCTTCTGGAAGAAAGAGTTCATCATAAAGAGTCCCTCTTTCTCCATGAAGTCGGCCAGCTGCTGGCCCCTTGGGTTCCGTTGCCCTATTCCAAATTTCCCTACTTTCAGCTCACCGTTCTCTCTTGTGCCTAGTTTTGCATTGAAGTCTCCCATTAACACCGTATATTGGGTTTTGGAGGAATGCATGGCTCTAGAGATATCCTCATACATTTCCTCCACCTCCTCATCGGGGTGTGCCGAGGTTGGTGCGTAAACCTGTATGACCTTCAGCGAATACCGTTTGGTGATTCTGAGTATAAGGTACGCAACCCTCGTCGACACACTCCCAATTTTTACAACGTTGTTAACGAGAGACTTGTGGACGATAAATCCGACACCTCCTTGGGACAGATGGTCGCCCTCCCGGTGATAGAGCAAGTTGCCGGATTCGAGGATTACCGTGTCCTCCCCCTCTCTTCGGACTTCAGATAATCCTATAATATGCCAGCGCAACTTGTCTATCTCTTCTTCCAGCTCCACGATCTTCTCGTCAGTCCTCAGGGTGCGTGCGTTGTACGTTGCCAGGTCGAGTCGTCTAAGGTGGCAACCGAACCTCCACCGGAGATTCTTAGCACCCCCTGCCCCGCCGTTACCATGGTCGCCACCGTAGCCAGGAATAGCGGGGCCGCCGGGGACTGGGGGCCGTCTCTTTGTTACTCTCTTCATAGGGGGGTATTTGCCATAGTTGCCACGCTGGGCGAGCGGGTTGGCAACCGCAGTTTTTTTATTGTCATTTGGCTATTATCAGGAAGATGCTGCTGCCCATCTCCTGGCTGTTTCCCTTTGTCGCCTTTTACGACACCCACGGGAGGATATGGGGTAGTGGATATTCTTGACCGCCACTACACGGAATATAACTTAATTTTTATATATATATAAAATAATTCCAATATAACTACACACAAATGTGTGCTGTATGCTGATGACATTACCATTAATATTGAAAATAATAATAAGACTTTTGACTCCGAATACGAAATAAATAGTACTCTAGAAAAAATAATAGATTGGTTAAGGCATAATAATTTACAAGTTAACATCGGTAAAACCAAAATGATAAGATTTCAGACATATAATAGCAAACAAGCACCACTTAAAATCGAATATGGGAAAAACGTCATCGAAGAAGTTGACCATACAAACTTTTTAGGTATAACAATAGACAAATTCTGTAATTGGAAGACACATATTGATAACCTATGTAGAAAATTGGATAAATTTGTCTTTGTTCTATATCGTTTAAGTCGAGTGGCTAACATAGAGGCATCACTTTCTGCCTATCATGGATATGTTTCTTCGATCCTACGTTACGGCTTAATAATTTGGGGTAATTCTGTCGATTTAATTAGAGCTTTTCGCGGGCAGAAAAAATGTATAAGGTCAATGTGTGGAGCACATCAATTAGATAGTTGCATTCCTCTTTTTCGCAAATATAAAATATTGCCACTTCCTGCATTATATATTTACGAAATTTGTGTCTTTGTTCACAAAAATAGAAATTTATTTGAAAAACAAAACGACGTTATAATTAGGACTAATAGAAACATACATAAGTTGTTAGTACCAAAGCAAAGAATACAACTTTACTCAAAAAATGTATATTGCATGGCAATACATGTTTACAACAAATTGCCTGTTTGTTTCAAAAAAATGAACATAGGAATCTTTAAACGTAAATTATACCAATTTCTTTTAAATAAATGTTATTACTCTATAAATGACTTCTTAAATGATAAATTTGACTTGAATTGTAATTATTGAAATTAATCTCGACTTAATTTATTGATATGTTTTAACTAAAAAATATTATGAATTGATTGACATTTTTGTTTTTATATAGATGCTACTTAGTTTCCTTAAGTATAGCTGTAAGTATATTTATATTCTATAATAATTCTATAATAATGTCTTGGTATTCTCTTAAATTCTAACATAATCTGTCTGAAAATATTTGTACGCAGGAAACTGCAGAATATTTAGGATCTCAATTATTCTGTAACAACTTAAATGTACCATATTGTAACAAATAAATCATCTTATCTTATCTTATCTGTGTGACCATGTTCAAGATCGTCCCCACCATTACATTAGATTTGATAGACCACAAATCCTCGCAAAAGAACACAGATTCCTACCAAGGATGATTCGCGAGGCTATTGAAATCAAAAAACATCCTAATTTCAATAGAGAAGATGGATGGTGCTGCCATCTGCTTGGGATCTTATAATTAATAAAATTAAATCCAAACCCAAGCATACAACTGCTAGACTTCATGATATAAGCTCAAAATTAATATTCAAAAACTGAAGGTAGCCGGGCTAACTGTGACATCGGGACGTCAAACACCTCAGTCCCACTCGTGACCATTGGTGCTGTAAAGCACCCGAAACGTCGGGAATTAAAAAAATTAAATTAAACGCGATAAAATCCGTAAAAATTAGTTTCATTTAATGTGTAGTCTTCACGTTAGTATAAGAAATCATTAGGATATAACAATGTGCCTACTCTGCAAAATTGTTACTTACTTAATAGCAACAAACGTCTGAGAGGACATCGACTTAAACTATGCCGGAGGACTCCAGGAGGGGATTTCAGCTTTGGAAAGGAGGTACAAAAGTGACCCACCTTTTCTGCATGTGTGATCTCCAATTATTCACCTCCAGTCACTCCCATCTTATGCAATCGCTAAATATCACTTGTGATTTTAGGTATTTTATTAGAATGTAGCTGGGGACTGATAAGTGTGCAGTCCTCCATATTGAAAGGGGATGGTTTGCTAGCTCTGAGGGCACAGACTTATCTATGCTTATCAACTTAAGGGCCCATTCCGAGACTGAAACATACCGATACCTGGGTATGTCACAGAACATCGGTATGTTTCATACCCGAGGCGAGTCAGTTTGCGATGTTTTATACACGCTTGAACAAAGTGCTTAACAGCCTTTTGTCGGGCGTAAATAAGACACACACATCTAACGGTTAGGCCATGCGTGTCCGTTGTGTATACCTTTGGCATACTCAGGTGGACTCAGACAGAAATGAATGCCCTGGTGCCATCCCTTAGAATGTATCTCCGATAGTTGTTGGTCTTAACAACCTGATCCTGTATCGCACAGACAAATCCCTTGGTTTCCCAAAATAGGTCACCAAAACGTATCCAGTAGAGGGAGGCTACTGTGTATACGAAAGGCTCATGTAGAGCCTTCTATAACTTCCCGCGGAACTCCTTCTCCATCCATACAGTCTCCCGGTCGGAAATGCTCTGTATTGCCATTGCTTGTTGGCTAAGGATAGAGGGGTAACACCTTTATCACAAGAAATGACGTGAGAGAGAGAGAGAGAAACGATGACTTGTGGAGCAAACAATATTAACAATGATAATAAATTTTAAGATCATATAAAAATGTAAATAATTTACCTTAACAAGGTCAAGGGGCAGAGGCCCTTTTGTGAGATCCATGAGACGTTTGAGATCCATGTGTAAGAATTCAAATACAAGGAAGAGTTTGGTGTCAGCAAGCAATACATCAAGGAGGCGCACAACCGACGGATGATTCAAATCACGTAGCACAGAAATTTCACGTAGAGCTGTTGATGGCACCCCTTCTGGTTCACTGTAATCAAAAATTAAAATCATCAAAATCCTTAAGCACAGTTAACAGTTGACATAGACCATGTCACATAGATATAATAGAATAGAATAGCATATTATACATGTATGTTTTATTCAATACTAGCTGGTACCCAGCTTGTTGCTGCCACAGGAGAAATAACTGTGGAAACATCATTTTTAATTTGCAAGTTATATTGTTCAATTAGGAATGATAATGATGATGATATATAACTTTCAAATAAATATGTCGGTACAATACGCGCGCCACCTACTGTAAGTTAATTTTATTATGCCTATAACTTTCGCGCAAGTGCAAGCAATAAATTGACAAAATTTTACTGCAATCGGATGAACGGTACGGCAGCACATAAAATATGAACAAACAAACATTAATTTTTATATATTACATAGATTATAAGAATACTTGTTGGTCATTTAAGTTTTACCACTGATTCAGAAAAAAACATCTGTCCTGGTAAGAACCAGCAAGAAACTCAACAGAACTTTATTTAAACAATACCAGTTTTTTACTAAATGCATATGAAAGTATATATATATGGTACTTATAACAAAAACACAATTTTTAAAATGTTTGTCTGTCTGTTTGTTCCGGCTAATCTCCGAAACGGCTGGACCGGTTTCGACGCGACTTTCACTGGCAGATAGCTGATGTTATAAGGAGTAACTTAGGCTACTTATATTTTAGAAAAAGTATTAGGGTTCCGCGCAACATAATTAAAACCTTAAATTACACACGGGCAAAGTCGCAGGGAACAGTTAGTTTACAATATAATATTTTATATTGTAAACTAACTGTTCCCGTAATTTAGTATGAAAACATTTAGAAGTATAATAACCCTTACGGGGGCACCTTGCCTTTGTAGGTAATTATTTCACACAGGTAACAAGAGTGACAGAAGCCTGATGGCAGTCCGATTTTTTTAAGTATATACATATTATGTCACCATTCTCTGTATTACCCATATTTGAAAATTATTTTAAGCTTAAGGGTTTCGTAATAAAATTATTTTAGTGACAATAAATATTATTATTAATAATGACAATACCCTTCTGAACTCTTCTAATTATATATATATATATATATATATATATATACCATATCTATTTTTTATTAGATATTCCAAATCTGCTCAACTCAAAGCTGCACAGAATAAAATAATTATGATATTTCATCTTTAAGACAGCACTCACTACTACACTTTGTACCCTATAGGAACCCTATCACCTAGGGTAGGCTCCCTTTTCTGGCAATTAGCCCAGAAATAGTATCCCTTAGCTATTTCTAGCACCAAGCAGCAATTCATCTACTACTAATTAGAAGCTTTCTATTTTCGGAAGGAATGTACAAAACCTACAATAGATTTTGAGGGGCTTTGGTGTGAACCTCATCTCTGAAGTAAGAATATGCATCCTTCCTTCAAAGACAAGGTACGAAGAGGTTCCACTCTGTAGATGTTGAGAAAAACATAAAATCGTTTTTTTATTCATTACACACATTTATGCTGCGCATACTGCTGTGTGAAAGGGCGACGAAAAGAGATAGGACAAGGTCATGGAGCTCAACCCCATCTGAGAAGGATCATCATCATCATCATCATTACAGCCCTTCACAAGTCCACTGCTGAACATAGGCCTCCCCCAAAGAATGCCACAGACCACGGTCCTGAGCCACCTGCATCCATCGACTTCCTGCATGTCTTACCAGGTCGTCACTCCATCTCGTGGGGGGACGCCCTACACTTCGCCTACCGGTACGAGGCTGCCACTCGAGAACCTTTCTTCCCCATCGGTTGTCGGTTCTTCGAGCTATATGGCCGGCCCACTGCCACTTCAGCTTACTAATCCGTTGGGCTATGTCGGTTACTCTGGTTCTACTGCGGATATCCTCATTCCTAAGTTTATCACGCAGAGAAACTCCGAGCATAGCCCTCTCCATAGCTCGCTGAGCGACCTTGAGCTTCCTCATACGGCCAGCAGTGAAGGACCACGTCTCAGTTCCGTAAGTCATCACTGGCAACACGCACTGGTTGTACAATTTCGTTTTAAGGTTTTGAGGTATGTCTGACGAGAAGATGTGTCGTAGCTTCCCGAACGCTGCCCAGCCGAGTTGAATCCGTCGATTGACCTCTCGGTCGAAGTTGGACTTACCTAGTCGGACTATTTGTCCCAGGTAAACATACTCGTCAACAACTTCGAGCTTAGTGCTCCCAACAACTACCGGCATAGGTGTGACATGGACATTAAACATGATCTTTGTTTTGTCCATGTTCATCTTAAGACCTATCCGTTGGGAAACACTATTGAGGTCATTGAGCATAGTGCTTAGGTCCTCCAGCGATTCTGCCATAAGGACTATATCGTCGGCAAATCGAAGGTGAGTGATGTACTCGCCATTGATGTAGATACCGTATCCTTTCCAGTCCAGAAGCTTGAAAACGTCTTCCAATGCAGCGGTGAAGAGTTTCGGGGATATGACGTCACCCTGTCTTACACCTCTCTGCAATTGGATAGGTTTCGTACTCTGGTTCTGTACTCGGATAGCCATCGTAGCCCTACTGTACAAGCACTTCAACACTTCGATATACCGACAGTCAACTTGGCACCGCTGAAGGGACTGCAGCACCGCCCAAATTTCGACGGAATCAAAGGCTTTCTCATAGTCCACATACGCCAGACATAGTGGCAAATTGTCCTCTTCGGACTTCTGTACAACTTGCCGAAGGGTATGTATGTGGTCTATGGTGCTAAAGCCCTTTCGGAAACCGGCTTGTTCGGGAGGCTGGAAGTCGTCAAGTCTGCGCGCGAGACGATTCGTAATGACTCTCGAAAACAGCACGTAGACGCGGCTCAGAAGGGAAATCGGTCTGTAGTTCTTCAAGAGAGCGTTGTCACCTTTCTTGAAGAACAAGACCACCGCACTTCTGCTCCACGCCTCCGGTGTAATGCCACCATGCAGGACGGAATTAAAGAGCTTCTGAAGGACTTCAAGTACCGGTCTTCCACCCGCTTTCAGAAGCTCCGCTGTAATTCCATCCTCGCCTGGGGCCTTACCGTTTTTAAGGTGCTGGAGAGCCATCCTAATCTCGCTCAGACTGACATCCGGGATATCTTCGGAATAGTGTCGGATGAGACTCGCTCTTGGATCGTTACTCACACTTGCGTGTGGCTCCAACGATGATGTGTACAGCTGCCCATAGAACCTCTCAATCTCACTCAAAATCTCAGGTGTCCCGGAAACGATGCTGCCACATTCTGTCTTCAGCTTTGACAGTTGGCTCTTTCTGGCAGACAGATCTCTGGCAAAGACTTTGGAGCCTTGGTTCCGCTCGATCGCTTCTTCAATACGAGCTGTATTGAAGTTGCGTAAGTCCCGCCGCATGCATTTGGAGATCTGTCTGTTCAGATGCCTGTATGCTGTCAAGTCTGTTGAAGAATGTAGCTTCATCTCCCGTCTAACAGCCATGAGATTAAGAGTGTGATCGGAGAGTTTTTGTGTTCTTCTGCGGCGGGTCTTGCGGAACTTAGCTCCGACCGCATGGACAGTTTCCACGAGCTTGTCATTCATATCGTCCACTTCATTGCAGTCTTCCAGGCACTGAAAACGGTTTTGTAACTCGAGCTGAAAGGTTTCGGGACTGAGAAGGAATAGAGGCGTAAACCTGTATTTTTAACATATTTTGTATATTTTTTTTGGTTAAAATAATAAGGTTAAATATAGCCACCAACAAATAGGTGCAGATGGTTGCAGTTCAATAAACTTAGGTGTGTTCAATTTAATGTGTAATGCTAGAAGAAATAATAAACCTAGGTTAGTCTGGGATTACAGAAATTGCCCACGCTTTTTAAGTATAACTCCATACAATATATTATGACATATAATGTTCATATTGTAACATAAATGTTCTCACCTTCAGAGTGAGAACATTCTAGTTTTGGTGGCTCCTTTCTGCTAAAGTTACATATACTTTTAAAACATTTAAAAACACTTCTACATCATGCCTACATAATGGTATAAGTAATATGAAATAAGTCTCAACTGATGTATTGTTATGTCTAACAGGTGACATATAAAATAGCATTTTTCAATGTTTACATGTTAGGTGCTACAATATATTCTAAGAGAATCCTAAAAGTATTGTTATATTAGAATTTTTTTTATAGGATGGGGTGACAAACGAGCACACAGTACACCTGATGGTAAGTGGTTACTGTGACCCATAGACATTTACATCTATCCTCAATAAAAACTCAAGATGCAGATGCGTTGGCGCTGGTGAGGACTAAGATGGAATGCCTCTTTGCCAGTAAAAAGGGTCTCCAGTTCTCTACACTCACCATACGAAACACAGCAACATTAAGCTGCTATTTTACGCTGGTTTTCTGTGAGAGCGTGGTCCTTGCCCGGTCGAGCCGACCCATTCGTGCTACAACTATACTACTAATATAGCTGCAGCATGGCGAATATGTGATCCATAAGTAACTTGTAAAGAAATTTTGATAGAAAGCTTTAGCTAAGCTATCACTATACACCTCATAAACCTATACACCAACTTATTTGCACACACATAATATACTCACCATTTCCTCGCTATGTCTGTCACTCTGGAACCTAGATTTAACATTCTAGAGCCATACAGCAGCTATATTATAGTTATAGCATCAATGGATTGGCTCAAAAGGGGAAGAACCACACTGTCACAGAATACCACCATAACATAGCAACCAAATACTGTTGTTTTGAATAGTGAGTGTAGAGAACAGTAGTATATAGAGAACCTTTTAGCTAGATATGAGGTATTCCATCTAGTCTGCATTTTGATTCATAATTGAGGATAAAAGTAATGTTTACGGACCATCAGGTAGACTGTGTGCTCGTCTGTCACCTATATTCTATAAAAAAAACATAGATACTTAAACCATAATAAGACACGAGCAAGAGGTATACTACTGTAAAAAACTAACTAGGACCACTCATAGTATGGTGTAGTACATAAACACAAAGTAGTTTCCTTAATTCTCCATTCGATTTTCTCAGAAGCACCATGTCATTAGCATAGCTTAGATAATTAAAGAATGATGAGCTCATATAAAAAGCGACTATAAGAACAATTTTCGTAGGTACTAAATACTATAATGAAGTACAGCTGCCAAACGTCATATTTCGCGCCAAAACTTACTTCTCAAGTTTTATTTTCTTCAAGGCAATTTCTTTTCCAGTCATCCTATCTTTTGCTTTATATACCACTCCATAAGTCCCTTCACCAATTTTTTCTACCTTTGAGAAGTTTTCCATTACAATAAGAAACCAATTTTTAGCAAGTAGATGTTTATTTAAAATGTGATCGACGCACAAACTATATAGAAACACTACGCGTTCAGACGGACGTCTCTGGTACATTTAGTTTGGACCGTAGAGCAAATCAGAACATGACATTTTGTTTTTTTTTAAATATGAATAGGATACAGGCAAGGGAATAATTTTATTTCAGCCTAGTATAATTATATATATATATAGGTATATACCTATATAATATTTTTATATTCATAATTTTAATTACTATTTTTATTATTATTATTTTATTATGAAGGATTCGTAGAAATAAAATGCATTGTATATATTATTTATTATATGATTTATTCTTTTAACTTTTTTAAACTTGTTCAAGGTTTTTTTTGGATTGGTGGCAATGTACACTTTTCGATTCTAATGATGTCCGTGCCTTTCAGAAACCCATGTGTGGTACATGCTATAGAGTAAACATATAATTCCTCCTTTGCTGCTTGCACTTGAATATTTTCAGTGAAAAGGTTCTCTTCAATACATTCGATATCCAGTGTATTGAGCTGGAAAAAGGAATATTTAAATATATAAATTACAAGTTTAATATGCACATATTAAACTTGTTGCTCATTGTAATTGTTGTTGTTTATAAATGTTTGCATAGAAAATGTCAAGACAAGAAGAGGCCATTGTAATCAGATAAAGTTACTTTCACATAAATCTAAGAAGCTTTCAAAATTATACAGAAATTTCCAATAATTTTTGAACATAATTATCATTGATACCTAAGAAAATTAAGTACACTGTAGCAATTTTTGATAGAAGGTTGGGAGGATAAAAGTATATTTTGTAAAGTAGCCAATTATCTATTGGAGTCTATGTTCATGTTCTACTGCTGGGCACAGACTGTCTCATTTCTCAGAGGGGTATGAAGCAATGAGTTGGACAAGGTGCTTATTGGTAGACTACATCTTTAAAATATTTTTATTCCTTAGACACACAGATTTCGTCACAATGTTCCAGAACATGATAAATTGGCACTTAAAATTGGAATTAACATTAATTCATTTATTTCAGGGTGTAGACAGAGATCAAATTTGCTCAAAAATATAAACATATTACTAATCCTAATAAAAATATTATCTAAAGTAAAGTTTTAGAATGGCAATTGTTTTGCAATTTAAATTTTACATGATTATTACCTTAATTTTTTTACTTCGTTGGGAATCACATGGTCATCATTTAGTTTATCTAACAAGCGCAATTGCTTGCAGTCCTGTTTAGTACATATCATCTTGCCATTTTGATACATTTCCATCAGTTATTATGTGTTTTGACAGCAAAATTATTCCTCATACCTTTTTTATGATGGCTGATCAAATATCAGACTAAGTTTATTTGAACTGTATCATCTGAAATAAAAACATAAAAGATTGTTTGTCATTGTCATTCAGACATCCTTGATTTTGTAATTATTAAGACTAGAGTTGTGCGATTGTGCATAAAATAATGTTGACAATTAATTATTTAAAATAATAGAATTCCTCATTTACTTCAGCCATTAACTTAAAATTTTAATAAATTATTATAAAAAGAATTTATTATTATGTTTCATTCATCATTTATTCATTGCAGACTATCATAAAGCTACTGGTAAACATAGGCCTTTATAGGTTATCATATAAGGTGTACATTTTCCATAGTTGTAACACTTGGCAGACAAGTTGGCAACCAGTTTATTATTATTACTAAGTTGTTATCAAAGAGATCACTTGAAATGCCAGTAATTAAGTAGTTTTATTTAAGTACAGTACTCCCGTACATCTTTATTATAATTTTTGAAATTTTATATGAATACTGAATATACTGAGCAGTTACGTTTATTAAGGAATAATTAAATGTACATACCTTTGTCATCTTTGATGATAAACCTAACTCAATTTACTCCAAAGATTAGTGTTGAGTTTATCCAACCTTTTTTAGCCTTATTAATGTCAGATTTAGCAGTATGAAACCCTTTATTCAAAAATTTTGTGACCAAGCAGGCTTCTTGAAATGGTTACTGGAATGCAGCATACTTTTAAGTTTGTCATAGTTTATAAAGTCCAACCACTTGTTTCTTTGGCCTTCGTCAGACTCTTCTCTGTTACTTGCACAATTGGGAATGGAACACTTAAAAATACATTTTAAAACTAAATTTTTTATATAAAATACACTAAAGCTAAAGAAAACGTCCCGTCGAAATATATAACCTATTAAACAATAAACATCCTTTCGTAAAATAGCAGTAAAATGCCAATAAAACTTTATTTATAATTTATAGTTAGTTCATACTTCATAGAAAAACAAAATGAAAATTTCCAAGAAAACTTCTAACTTGACAGCTACGCGCACAGAATACTTTACTCCTATGGCTACGCGACAATAACATGACAAAATGGCGGCAGCGGGAAGGGGCAAGAGATGGGAGGGACGAGGGAAACGTCATGTTCTGGATTGCTCACTGCATTTCATACGGTCAAAGATTTTTGCCCAAAGATTACCAGCCGTGGATCGACGATTAGAACAATTTCTTTTTCATAACTGGCTTTACGGCTCTGGGATCTAGCCCTTCTGAGCTTGAAGTTACAATATATTATAATTATCCTTAAAATAGTATACTGCTTCACAATATGTTGATGCGTCACAATGTGCAGCCTTTGGGAAATTTTGACGACAACTTGAGTCAGCAGACAGCTAACGGTTGGCGATGGTATCTCAAGGCGCCTAAGCAGACAGACACTATATTTTGAGAATCACATCACCATCAGAGCACTTGTTTCACAGTTTCCTACTAATAGTTCACATGTGCAGACACTTAATACACAAAATCGCACGACTTTTACATATCTAAGTCCACTTCAAACCATTATTTAAACAATAATACAGGAGCAGTAAACCGCAGCCGATCAAGTTCCCGCCAAAACTCTTCCGATTGGAACAAGTGAACAAGAAGAAAACAAGAATATAATATTGTCACTGTCAGTGTCAGTGTCACTAGTCATCAACCTCAGAGTATTACTAATGTAGAGAAGAGAGTCTAAAATAAGAACAAAATTTGTACAGTGGTAGAGCCACGCGGCAGCTTTTGCTATCGCACGGATGGGCCGGCTCGAACCGGGGTGGTACCACGACCTCACAGAAAACCAGCGTGAAGTATAGGTTTACCTCTGCGTTTTGCTTGGTGAGTGCAGGTGGTCGGAGGCCCTTTTTACTTAAAATGAGGCATTCCATCTTAGTCCTCACGGGCGTCAACGCATCTACATTTTGATTTGTAATAGAGGATAGATGTAGATGTCTATGGGCTGCAGCAACCATTTACCATCAGGTGGACTGTGTGCTCGTTTGTTACCCTTATCCTATAAAAAAAAAAAACAAAATTCTTATTAGCGATGAGCGTTGAATCAACGACCTAGTTGAATCAACCGTTGATCTCCTGTCAACGTGTTAACGTTTACTGTTCATGAATCAACTAGTTGAATTCGTCAACGACGTTTATGAATTTAACTCGTGCGTCTCGTTAATGCACCGAACTGAGCAAATTAAAAACTTACGTTGATAATAACATCATAGATTGTGAGCGATGGTCATGTCATACAATTTGAACTCTAAGTAACCTAAAAAGAGTTTATTTTCGAAATATTCATTTTAAGAATAGTTCTTATGACGATATTGGTGGAATGGCGCGCCCCGCTCGTGACGTCCGAGATAAATAGGTTAATACCTACTTTGCTTATATATTATACAATGATAGGAAGTTAGCTTTCTTTAATTTTTTGATTACGCGGAAGCTCAGAAGTTATTTTACCGCTTATCGTAAATGTTTAGAGTTTAGACTTTTTAGTTAATTTTTATAGTTACAGTTTAAATTTGTTTGTGTTAATATAATTGTGTATGTTTTGCATAAAATAGGATTACTTAAGGTACAAAATTGAAAATGTCAGAACGTACTGGGGTAACAGTGAATCGTGGCTGCATTTCGAAAAAATTAAAAAAAAACTAAAAAAGTATTTTAAAAAAATCTATAAAAAACATATTGTAAATAATAATTGATTTGTGCACATAGAAACAGATTATCTTTTAAATACGCCTGAGTAGAATATGATTTATAGCTAATTGTATTCAATCAGTCCTAAGCCTAAAGAAAAAGTATGAAGGGAAGGTCATCTAAGTAGAACCATAAATCAAACGATTTCCAATACATACATTGAATCAAATTGTTTCTAAAATTGAATGTCGTAATGTTGAATAAAAACCGTTCAATGAATTAACGGTTTACGTTGCAAGTTGACATTAGTAGTACTTTAACTCGTTGACGAATTTAACTAGTTGATTAACTAGTTGACAAAGTTAAATCAACGATAACGTTTCGTTAACGGAAAAACCGTCAACGATCCATCCCTAATTCTTATGTTCTTTATGGCTAATTTACACAGGGTCAGTAACTCACTCCGAATTCCAGGTAAGTCAGTACTGAGCAGATACTGACATTGTGCAAATTGATTTAGAGTCAGTACAGCGCTGTCACGCCAGTGCTAACTTTAATATTCCTGCTTGAATATTTTGAAGCCAGTCCACTCCCCCTGCCACCCGCGCCAGTGGTATTAACCTTGTCTAAAGAACCAAGCCAATACTTGGTCAATCGCTGGCACCGCATTGTAGGGTTACGTCGCGTCAACAACAAAGCAGAACTTCCTGTTCTTTTTCTGCCGTCTATCCATTTTCTTATCCAAAGTTGTTTCTTTTTAAATGTCTCTTCTTCTAACGTTTCCGTCAACTCTTTCAACAGCAGATAGGAACACTTTCTCAACAAATATTTCAATCGTTGTAAATTCTGCCGTTTCCATGAATTCATTTTCGCCCGCTGACTTCAATAACGTGCGTAAACCCTTCCGAAATTATCACGACTACTGACTACATGTAAACAGTGCGAGTCAGTCCTCGACGCCAGCACTGGTGCCTGTTACTAGCCC